GATACTTGGATCGTATGATAATATCTACAAAAAAGGTGGCCCAAGATTTTTTTAGGCCACCTTTTTTATCTAATTTGTGATTAAATTATTATTTATAATCATCCTTTAAGTCAAACATCAACCAAAACTACAAATATTTTAGTTCCAACACGATATTGACCTTACAGTATTATAAAGTACAATATATTCGTCCTAATTACCATTCAGATCAGAAAAAGGCCTTAGACAACCTAAATAATATCGGGAGCAGATAGCCTTATGTCGATCTAATATGTAATGTTTGCCCGTTCAAGCGACTTACATATAGCTCCACATTTCCTTTGATGTCAATATTATTTGTATAAGTGGGTATACGGTCAAATAGCTTCCTGGAAACCAATAAAGTCTGCCAAAAATCTTAGCAAGGCCTTAAGGTTATGTATAATATATTGAAAATCTTTTGAGTTCGTAAGGATAATAATATATAAGTGTTTATATAAATCAGTTGAAGCTAGTATCATCTGTTTGCGCAAGTTAATGTTAAATTTACATTGTACATGGGTGTGAATGTGTTCAACAAGATTTATTTAATTTTACTTATTTTTCTAATGTATATACTTTTTATTTCTATTTTTTATATGATTTTTATTATATTTTTTTATAGTTATTGCTCAATTTTATTATACATTGTATGAATGAATATTTTTGTCCTTAATACTTATTCCCTCCAAGTATCGAATAAATATTAAATTGTATTTTTTTATGTTTAAAAATCAAATAATAAAACTTATTAGTTCGTTAAAAATACAATGGCGTATTGTTATTCATTCGCTCTTCCAATTATTACGTTACGGGCAGAGCCTTATTTGAGATAATTCAAAATTAAAATATTCTAAACCAAGTTCTTTTATTCTTCAAGTAAACTTTTCTTAGTTTTTTTAACAAAATGAATATGTTAATACAATTTAAGAATCCTTAGAATATATTGAAATCAGAGAAAGAACATTAAAAGTGAAGTAGATAAAATATTATATTGAAGAAATATTTACTTATTATATTTTAAAAAAGTTTCATCATTCATGAAGTATTTTTGTAAACCAGTTTTAAAACGTCAATTGTTTTTTGATTATTTATATAACTATAAATTATATATATATATATATATAATCAAATGATAGCAAAATATTTAAATATAAAAAAAAATAGCTATCAGTTTCATCATATTTTTCAAAAGGAATTTTAAGTGAATATATCAAGTAATTTAATGTATGCTTCATTGGCTGTTTATAGAATAATTATTTTAATAAATTAGTTTAATTTTTTAATATATATTTTGAATTTATGTAACACTTATTATTTTACAAATATACTGTTTCTGTAGGTATGATATTAAAGTAAGATACACATTATATACGCTATATCTTGCAAAATCAATAAAGAAATATTGTAGTTTGCAATGGGCGAGGTTGGCTTTCTAAAGTGCATCATTTCTAATTTCATCAAAATTAATAACAGTGAGTTGTATGAGCCTTTCAGTTGGCAGAATGACTAACTCCAATTTCAACATTTTTGAATAGTCATTTTATTGATATGTCTAGTTGGAAAATTAATAATATCTGTACAGTGAGTAAGTTAATGCTAGAGTAAGTGATTGCAATGTTAAAATATAGGACTATGATATAAATTTTCTCACTAGAAATATCACTAAAACTAATAATCAAAAATGTTTGAATTTGAAATAGCCACTCAGTCAACTAAAAGGCTCATGTGTAAAAAATATGAAACTAGAGAAAAAAGTACATTTAATTTTACTCGATACGGTATCAAATGACCAATAAAAAACAAACTCTTATGACAATAAAAAAAATGTAATTGTTTTATACACTTACATATATCATGAATAAATAAATACGAAATGTAATTGTATGGTATTTTTTTAAGAAGTATAATTATAATATTTTAATCACGTTATATTAACGAATATAACATTGACATATTATTGAAAACTATTTTTTTTTATATGACATATCATCACACTCATGAGCGTCATCAAATTTTCATCAGACTAGGAATGTGAACAGCCAGGCACTATCTTAATATAACCTAACATTAATATTTATTTTTATACTATTTGTAAAAATTAGACTAAATTATTTAAACGTAGACAATAAACAAATATTTTTTTTTTGTTTATGTGTTACCTAAAATAAAAGGAGCTGCCTTTCGACAATGATGAATCTGTCAATAAAATTGTTTTTAAAAAGAAAGTAATTTATGGATAAAATATTTAAGTTTTAATTTTAAAAAATTAAAACAATAAAATCTAACTATCCATTAATGCACTAAAAAATTACAACCGATTAGTTCTGGAATATAAAAAGCTAAGAATGGTGGGGAGAAAAAAAATTCTATCAAGCTAATAACGAAGGAAATTTTACTGCAGAGAAAATGTAAGTAACCCCAAAAACATTTAGTTGATTTAACAACACTGTTAGAAGTCACGGTCATTTAGAATAATCATAAATTGTATTCCCATTTCTTGCAAAAGAAAATTTCATTACTGGAAATGTTCAGTTGGGAGAGAGGCATTTAAAATGCTTTTATTCCATCAACTTGATGAGGTAATAATAATGCTACACACTAAAGGCAGCTAAATTGTCCTTTGCATAGTGCCATGATAATCTAATCAGATGTTTTTCCTGACTATTTTCAAGAAATAATTTTTATAGTACTGATTTTTCATGCGATTACAAATAAGAAAAAAAAACAACATTTCTTTGAGCTTTCATAATTTAGATTTAATACCAATGTTTTTTAATTTTTAGTATTATGTTTAACAATGAAAAATAACTTCTAGCCCTCATAATTTTTACACTCTATTTGCTATTCACTGCAACAATTTTGTTTGCAGTTACTAACATATTTAGTTCCATTATTATTGCTATGTTCTCAGTATTAACCTATGTTTGCATATTTCCAATAATAATAAAAAATGCAACCAATAAATTGGTATAATCTTAATTTATTTTAATTAGTTATATTGATAGCTAAATTAGTAAAACCAAAACATTATCCGATAGTCTTTAAACAAATTTTTTGGTTTAACCGTATACAATATAATAATATTTAGTTTGCTCTAATTTTATTGTCATTAAAATATTATTATTGATTGTTATAAAAGAACAATGCACTTCAATTTTAAGCACACACAAAAAAAAAAGAAAGAACTTCACAAGATGTTACATATTGGTATAATTTTCTAGTTGTAAATTATTCAATGTCACTTATAATTTTTTTTAAAATAGGTATTTTAAATGCATAATTCTGAATTTATGAGAATATAAAAGAAATATTTGAATTTTAAGTATGACAATAGTTTTAAGGTTTTACAAAATTAAAAAAAAAAATATTCAAAACAGTTCTATGAGCCTCTTTTATGAATAATTATAATAATAATAATATTACGTTATAACCTGGTAACAGGAAATGTTCAGGACTATTTTCTGTGCTAGAAAGTCATACTCAGTTATTTTTTCTTTTCAAATTATTCATAAAAAAAATAATTTATTTTTTCAAAAATCACTTGAAATTAAATCAATTTGTTCAAATATATCAGCAAATTAAAATATATTACAAATATATTAATATAAATATAAATAAGCATTAGTTCACAAATTAATTGAATTAATTTAATGGTTAACAGTTAATCAACAAAAATTACTATTTTTAAAGGAATATATTTTCACCAATCTATGGTTTCTTATCTGAAAATTATACAACACCGTATGATGTACATTAAGCTATAAAATAACAATCAATTCATGAAAATAAAAATATTTTTTATGAAATACGGCCACTTTAATATTTTTTTTGTTAATTGCAGACAATAAAAATGAAAATTTTATGAATATTTTACACATCGGTTATTAACAAATTAATTCAATAAGTAAGGCAAAATATAATATGAAATAACAAGAATATACAAATCTTCCATTATATTTATTTCTAAATCTATGGATAATGATACCAGAAAAATAATAATTACTTATGATGATATATGTATTGTTATAACATATTATTTATACAAATGAAAATACATATAAATTAGCATTATATCCTGCGCGTTTATACTCCTGGGGTTTCTGTTGGACGATGTTTTATTTACCGCGACTTCCAATCCCAGGTTAGTATCGGTTTTACCTCAAATATATAAATGATACATTCTGTAAGCAAGCTGAGGATAAATTACAACCAGGAGCTGAAGATTCTTTGTTGAACTTGAGAATCACTTAAAGCACATCTTGTATTATTGATCAGTCAACTTTCACATCGTTCCTTACTAGAGCATTTGTCTGCTCCTTGCGCAAACTTCGTAACAGTGAAAAGTTTAACTGTTCTTTTCTATAAAGTTAAATAACTGTAAGGAGTATTTAAATATATCTAATTTCATTTTAATTGGAAGAAGGTTCAGAGGTGAAAAATATGTCATCTATAATTTAATTAAAATTTAATTGTCAACATGCATATATTTTATTTATAATTTAAGTACTTCGCTTCATGAAATAGGTAAGCATATATGCTAAAGATTTAATTTTTGTCACATAATTTATTGTTATGAATATAATTATTTCTGTTTTTTGAAATTAATATTAATTTTAATTCGATAAGCAAATGTATTCAATATAATCTGTATGTTGGTTTATTGCAATGGAAAAGTGTCTAAGAATAGTATTACTCAAAATTGTCAATTGTATACTTAGTAAAATTTGATTAAACTGAAACATTAACATAAATAAAACATAATAAAAAAATAAATGAGAATGACAGGGGACACTGGTTCTGATAATTCTACTCGGAACAAGGAACACTGACATTGATGTAATTAGCTGAGTTTTATAGTTTAATGGCATATTTTATTCTTTAAATTAGAATGAAGTTGCTAGATATCGATTTTCGTAATCAATATACTTCAAGGGTATAGATGTTTAGTTTTTATTTTTATTTCTTAAAAGATAATGGCGATGGACCAAGATCCCGACAGCTTCCGTTGTGTCGAATTCATCGAAAGACATGGAAGACAAGAGGAGGCCGTTATCAAAGAGTGGGCGGGCCCTGTAGAAAGTGGAAGCGACGGACGGAGCGCCGGTACCTGGCTCAGCTGTGGAATGTACACAGGGATCGATCGGCGGGAGGGACATGCTCCTCCGCGCCACACCCCCGAAGCCGCAACTTAAAGGGAACAACTTACACTTAGGACTTGGGGACTTAGAGCAGAGACAAGAAGTACTCACCTGTGCCAGGGAGAGGAGGTAGGCAGCCAGGAAGATAGGGACAGCCCCCATGATAGAGCTCCTTGAAGCTTGGCAACTGATTGACTGTTGCCCTCGAGCGGCTGAAGGTGGCTCTAGCGTCGCTGCGCCGGTCAGCCTTTGGTTGGGAGGAAGGCCACCAGGCGGCACCACCTCCCCAACTCCCGGCTATAATCAATGTTTCCTTCTGTCTCATTTGCCACGCTGCCATGGCCATCGTCGGCTCTTAATTGAAAGATCCCTCCAATTAAATTTCTTCATTTTTTTTTTTGCGGTCTGTTTCATTTTACTTTTTCCCACCTTGCCTAGAAATAGAATTTTTTTTCTTGTAAGGGAAGAGTATTTTACGATCGGGTAGAGAAAGTGAATACATTTACTGGATTCGATACTTCAATTCCGTAGATATATTGAACTTATAATACAAATGAAGAGCTTAAAATCACGATTTCTGAATGCATTAAAGCTTTCTGGAACACATTGCTATTTAAGGACCCCATGTTAATCAAAATATTTTTATTGGCTTATACTACATTAAATTGTCAAATATTTTATTCCAAATACTTGAGCACTAAAACCAAATTAAATTCTGGAAATCATTTTAGTAACATCTATACAAAATGGTGAAATTTCTCTTTCATTTTGAGCGCATCGAATCGAATGATTCGTTGCCAATTAGATAATTCACTGATAAGAATTCTGAATAAAAATAAATAGAAATAATGCCCGTCTCGCTAGTATAATATTTTCGTTAATTTATTTCTGTTTATTTCAACAACAAAATAAATTTAGGCATTCTCAAGTGGCAGGCTAATTTTTGGATTAGCTAACTAAAACATTTAAGTTCCTTTCTATGAACCTAATATAATATAAGCATCTAGCCTAATAGAATAATATAAGCAGTTTAGACTTTTTACTGTTATTTAAACAAAAATGATTATTTATGATATTAAAATGATTGATTATTTTAATTAATTTGTAAGTATGCCTCATTATGTCCATCCAGTGGTGCCTAAAAGGAGCTTTATTTATAGCAAGTTGCACCATCAAAATTTTTGAGCTGGCCGCCTTTTGACGGAATGCGGATTTTTTTAAGGGAGCTTATTTTTTAACAGGGAATTTAATAGGGAACCATATTTTTGTGGAGGTTCTTTAAAGAACTTCCGAACCAGGGATTAAGGGGGGGAAATGGCAGTGATGTGAATTTCCCTAATTATGTTTTCGCTTGCACAGATTTTTTACAAGAGGACACCAATAAAAGTTCTTGAAGGGTTGGGTGTGCTTCAGACCTGAGGAAGATGACTTCATGACTTTCATTTTTTCATTTTACTGAGAATTAGTTCTAATTATAATAATACACCATCTACTTTAATAATAACTATAATAATTTGTTATTATTATGATAACTAATTATTATTTTGATTATGCATACCTGATGAGGCATATAATGTTGCCAAAATATATCATCAAAGTATAAGCAGAACTTAAGGTATACTGGGTAATGAAATACCACTTTACCTATATAATCCAGAAAAACAGGTAACAGCAGTTTAAAAGTTTATTGAGATGGAAATATAATAAAGGACCATAATAGGATATTGCATAACCTCCCGGATATTTTGGTTATACCCAACTCAAACAAAACTGTCATTATCATAGATATAGTAGTACCCATTGATATGAACATTGTAATCACCAGGTCAAAAAAAAATCGAAAATACCAGGAATTAGACTTAATAAAAAAGCTATACCATTTAGAAAAATGTTAAATAATTAATAATACCATCGAACGATCTAATATGGACAAGTACTTTAGAGGGTACCAAAGATCTTGGACCTAACTTAACACATTTAAAAACAGTTCAAAAAGCTCCTGCTCAATAGGTGAAGGCTTGTGAGAAAATGTTCAACTAAATAAAATCTTCCGACTCCATTCCCTTGAAGGATTTTCTTCCGGGATGTAGATATTCCAGATATCTAAGAAAGCAAAGACTATAATAATAATACATGATCTTCCAAAGTGAGCTTCATTTAGATATCTTTTTAGGCTGGAGAACTTTTAGGTGAGGTCTTATCTCCCACATTATCAAGAGATGGAATCCAACATCCGTCTTGTTCTGTTAGCAAGACGGATCACGAAACAGTTGATGGTTATTTATGTTTTAATTAATGCTTAACGAAAAATAAAATAAAATCTTATCTGAGAATTTCATAGGTGTGTGGAATAGTTTGGAAGAATTAAACAATATCTTAAATACTTCCATATCAACTAGATGTGCGATTTAGATAGTAAATATTAGGCTGTATTTTAAATAATTTTTATTAAACTCCTTAATATATTTGTTTCAATCTATATCTTGGGGTGTTGATAACTATTAGTTTTATTTATTTATTTTTATTTTTACGATACTATTAGGTTTTTTTTTTAAATAAGAGAAATAATTTTTTTTTATGGTTAAGATTGTTTGTTGATAACTTTAATTTTACTTTTATTTTCTTGATTATTTTTTTAAGTAGCGAATATTTTGTCATATCTTTTCACAACTGTTTTTAACATATTCTTTTAATCAATTATGAAAGTACTGAGATATTACTTTTAGCTTATCATTACCAAGTCAAAAACAATCTTTTTAAAAGTTAAAACTTCTTAAGGGGCGTCTTGTACTTTTTTGTGGAGAGTGAATTAGATTTATCTGTCAGATTTTAACGCTCAAGTAAAGTCGGTTATAGTCGACCAATTGAATAGGTTTAAATATGGTTTAAATTATTTTAGAAACTAAAATTCGATTCTGCATACTTTATGCGAGGAAATTGTTCAGCATTTCATCCTCTTTGTAATTAGCTATAATTCAAAATTGTAACTTAACGCGACACCGTGTTAGAGAGGCGAACAGCAAAAAACAAATAGTGCCGAAAACCAAATGTTAACGAGGTTAGTTGAATATATAGATTAAAATATTTCAGATACTAAAAATCGGAACTGTATACTGAAAGAGAAGGAAATGTTCAGCATTTTGTCTTCTTAGTAGTGAGCTATTATTCAAAATCATATCAACAGCGTGTTAAAAAGTGGTAGAGGAAAAAAGATAGTGTCCGAAACCAAATGATAACGAATTTATGCTAATAAATAGTACAATATTAATATTTTTAAAACATTGAAATTTTATTTTTACAACCATATTAACAAATTATAAAAAATAAGAAGAAACACAATATAAATGATAATAATAGCAGAAATTCTTAGGTATAACAGAAAATATAAAAATATAACATTACATAACATTTCAACTGGAAACTTCCACATAAATATTACACAGTTGTCGGACACAACATAAACTAGTATATACCTCTAATTTAAATAAATAAATTATAAATCATTAAGAACATTTTTAGATTGACTTTGCTTTGATGTCTGTATTTCATGCAATAGAACATTGTTATTAAATTTAAAAAATTCTTATTAAACGAAATTATACTAATTTACCATAACTACAATACATCTAGAATACATGGATTAGTAAAGTTATATAAAAGTGGAACTTCACATAGTCCTATTATCAATAATATCAATGGGGCAACGGAAAAATTTGGATAAATACCTCAATTCCACAATCAATAACCTAAAATCAGATAGTAACAATGCCGTAAAAAACTCAATGGAAGTAAATGAAATGCTTGAAAGAATAAATAAAATGGAAAATAGGTAAATATTGTTTGATTTGTTTCATGTAGAACATTTATTTACCAATATCAACTGGAAAGATGTAATCAAAATTATTGAAAAATACTGGGATACAATAGAACCGCATACCCAAATTATTTAAGGCCCCCCCTTTTTTTTTGTTGTTGTTTTTTCAGTTATTAATGAAAATAATTGAAATATATATTTTATTATTTTTAGCTCTAGTATTTCATAAAACTTTTAAAGAAATAGTGCCACTACTCACAAATTATTCTTTCTTGAACTTATGGTTCAGTAGATATTAAAACATCATTTAAAAATAACTATTAATACCTTATCATCATTTACATATTTATCTCTTATTAATCATCAGTTTAGCACCTATCTCTGATTGAACACTGGTGAAAGAAATGGCGCATCAAAGTCATTGAATATAAATATAAACATATAACCTTCACCGTTCCTCATAATTCCTATCCACCGCTTTACTTTAACTCCATCCAGCTTCCCTTCTCTGACACAGTCCGGTATCTTGGTTTTCTCCTAGACAGACGAATAACGTGCAATCCGCATACTAGACTTAAAAGACAGGAACTTAACCGACTTTATGGCCAGCTATATAGACTACTGAATAGAAAATCTAAACTTTCTATTGAAAAAAAACTACTGATCTAAAATACAACACTGAAACCCATCTGGACCTACGGACTAGTAGTGTGTGGGTCAATCAAAGTCTCTATACATCAAACGCATTCAATTCTTCCAGTCTAAAGTCCTCCGGACAATAGTCGATGCTCACTTCGATGTCACCAATAAAACCCTGCATAATGACCTTAATATTCCATTTATTCTTTATCTTATCTCAGACAAATTTTCCAAATTTCATCAGAACCTTAACCATCACTCTGATCTCGTAGCACACTCCCTATTTAGCACCACCCATCCCTACAATCCTCCTCGCAGATTAAAACGGCAGTGGCCCCTTGATCTTTTGTAACATGTATATATTGGAGCTCTGGCAATGGCCAGATTCTCCACTCAAGTCTGTGGTTGTAGCGCTGGCTTTTAAAACCAGTGAAATGTTTGAGGAAGAAGCGCAGGGATCTCCTGAAGCCTCACTTTTCCCTTAGCAAGTGGGGAGATAACTCTAATTCGGAGTTCCCATGGCTGATTCTAAATAGCAAAAATAGGTATGCCTACGTCTAAGATGTTTATTTTTATTACTTTTTTTTAAGGACATTTTAATTCTGTTTCATTTATTTATTTCTATTTTATTATAACTATTATTTATATTTTCTTCCTTCATTAATATTTTATTTAGTTCTTATTTCGCTGTATATCATTTTGAAATTACCTTATTTATTTTTTGATTTTGTAAATATGGTGTGAATGTGCTCTCTGAACTCAATTATAAATGTCCATTATTGAGACAGCTTGTAATATTTATTAATTAACATGTAATCCATTAATCATCATTATTATTAATATGAGAAGAACTACAAAATTTTCGTTGAAAAATTTTTTTTTAATAC